TCATTACAGCTGATATGTATAGAATTTTTACAAACCATCCAAAAAGTTTCAATCAATGCAAAAAGCAGTGGAGTATCACATACCCCACACATACATGTCCGATTGAAAGCATTTATTTGTTTGTTTGTTTGATTGACTGTCATTGTTATCATGTTTTTGATAGAAGGGTTTAACAGAATAAATAAAGGTTTTTTTCACATGCTGAAGAAACACATTTTTATTTTACTTCACTGGTTTCATACCATTGTGGAGGAAATTTCAGTTTAGTGTTCAGGTTGCAGTTGCAATAAATAATATATTTTTTTAACATTTTTTATTAAGTCTTAATAATTTGTCATAAATTTCATCAACAACCCTTTTTATGACAAGCACAAGGACAAAAATTATAATGAAATGCATGTCGATGAAAACGTTTAGGTGAGACAAGATCCAATCAGAATTCAATAAGTTCTGTAGAGTGAGCCAATCCTTGTCCTGCAAGACGTGCACAATTTGATCCAATGAGCAAATTTTCTTGATCTGAAAATTCTTGGATGTTTAAGAAAAATTAAGGCAAATTAAAGAGTGTTGACATTTGTTTGTAGAGTTTGGAGGACATCATTCCCACAGCTCTTCCATCTAAGGAAAGTTTAAATATTTATATATTTGCCCTGAGAAAAATTCCATAGGAAGGAAACTTTCAGATGTCATAAAACTGCTTAATACTTACAAATAAACACTGACTTCTGAGCTGTTACCAGACTCCTAATTGCCCTCCTGTGTATACATTGTCCCTGCCTCCACTTGTCCTTTGTCACAGTGTGCTGTTCAGTTCACTGGTCTTAGTTCAGCTAAGTAAAGGGCTTGCCTTTTGTTACTTCCAGCTGCCTTCCTGTGTCCACATTTTAGTTGCTTTAGTGGAAAAATCATTTTGCACAATTGATGCAGAATTATCAAACTGACAATTAATCTCATAAATCATAACACACTGCTCTCCCCTATGCCTTTATAAGTTAAAAGCCTTGGCATCAGCAATGCTGGCGCTGCATTTGCTTGGTATTGGATCACTTTGAAATAATGTAAATAACTAACTATTACCAGTTTTTATTCACTTTTTAAAAAATTTAATTAATATAAATTTGTAACTGTACACCCTTCTGTTATTACTGTTGCACACCTACAGTACCTTTACAGTCCACCAGAGGGCCCTTGTCAATACCTTGGATATCACTGGTCCAAGTTATAACAAATCTGAATCCT